TAGGCTGTACCTACCTGCAATAGTCATCAGATTTATCGGGCACTTCAGTTTAACTTCTGTTCGATCTGCAATGAATCAATTTAACAGGCTGCTAATGTGAAAGTTCACGAAGCCTAACAATGTTTGATCCACAAGTTTATCGACCACTTGATTTGTTCGGTGTTCGGTTCTCATAATTCCCCGAGTACATCTAATCTGCACCTAAATCAGAATACATCGTCCTGTAAAGTACTGACTAAGTCCTTTGCAGGTATCTGTTCGTCCGGTGGGGCGTGGATCTGTCGAAGTTCGTCGTGTTTGTCGGAGAAACCGGCGACACGGACTACGAGGGACTGATCGGCGGAGTCCATAAAACCGTGATACTCAAAGGACTAGGCAGCGAATCTCGCAAGTTGCATGCTAACAGGAGTTATCCTCTCGAGCACGTGGTTCCGTTCGACAGTCCCAACGTTATCGAAGCTGAAGGATCTGATGTCGACAGCATTAAGGGAACATTAGCCAAATTAGGAGTGATGAGAACGTAAAGTTATACTTAGCTTGTGCATCACTTGTATCTATAACCAAATTGGCTTGTAAAATACAAAGTAGCCATGTACGAATACAGACATGCATTCCCGGTTATACAAACGTCAATACTGAGGCCCTTGGAAGTATCCAACTAGCCTTTTGAGACGATGAATTATAGTAGAGAAGCACATGTTAAGAACACTAGGGTTACAACATGATTGGCTCTGTCTATTATATCATTTTATAAAACGAGCCTTTTTTATATATATTTTTCTTTCCGAGACAACTCGATGCATTTTTCACATAAACCGTGTCATTCTGGACATGTCTTTGAAGGTACGATGGCAAATCATTCGCGGTGATTTGGGAAAATCTATTTAAGATTTGGTTAAAAACTTGAGAAACATGTTGATTGGCTGGTATTCCAATGGAATTTCTTGATGTAACGTAGATTTTTAAAGTACCAAACATAATACTTTGTAAAAGATAATTTCTTCTTTATTCAATTATGAAGGAACATTAAAAATACCTTACTTAGCATATCATATCAGCTGCCAAAGCCTTTTTAACTTTTGCATAGTCAAAATCATATAGAGTATTAGGCTTCGTTTGTTTCGCGAAAAATGCAATATTTTCAAAAAAATGTTTTTCGAAAACGATCATCAGTTGAAAATAAAAAAAATTATGAGAAACATTTTAAAATTTCTCACATAGAGTGCAAAGACAAGGTCGACTGTTGCACTATAAGGAAAATTAAAGTAATTTTACGAAATACGCTTTTCTTATTGGTAAACTTCAGGAACTCGGGGCCACATTATCTCTAAGTTCCGTCGTCCTCACGCCGTCATCTTCGATTCACTGTAACTTCGAGCTAAGTTCGAATGATAGCTATCTATCTGTCTACTACTTTCAAACCCATTTGAACAGATAGATAACCAGAGCAGAGAGAGAGAGAGAGAGAGAGAGAGAGAGAGAGAGAGAGAGAGAGAGATGCCTGGCAACGACGTAATCATATGAAAACTGCTTCCATATCCGCAGCGATATCAGCTGAGATTCATCGCCTCTTCATGATAACATCGCCAGTAGTCCCAGCAGCTGCAGACCATATCTTCTGTGTTCTCTCCCTTTCTTTCCCCTTTCTCTGGGTGCACTGGCAATGCCAACGTTGCCATCAGCGCCGGAAAGTTCTGCGAAGACCTCGCATTGCATTCCTTAAACCCTCTTGAACTGTTCCGTATTTCGCTTTCGCCTTCTGGGTTTTCGCTCGCGAGGGAATGGCGGGTTCCGCTTGCAGCGGCGCACTCATACTATACCCTTCGCTCCTCTTCATCATCTTCTTGTCCGCCTTGAATCACCATTTTCACATCTTCCCTGCACCGCTATCGTCTTCTTCTCCTTCTTCCTCCTCTAGCCACGGAGCTAATGTTTCCCAACGCGAGAAAGAACAGGCCCTTCTCTTCTCCTCAAGCGCAAGCAGGAGAAACTTCGTCACCTGTAGCAGCACCAGCACTAGCGCTGCTAGAATCAGAGTGAGTTCCGTCCACTTTTCTTAACGATTTAGCACCAGAAAAAGAAAAAAAAGAGGTACTTTTTTGGTTGTGCAACTCACTTATCAGATGATTATTTCGGTGTACTCGATCGACTTTCTTACGAAACATGAGAATTTCCATAGTTCCATCTAAGGACTGTGATTCGTGGGTGGCAATTCTCTTCGCAAGTTGACAGTTCTCCTCATCATCGTAACCACGATAAATCACCACAAAAATGGGGAAAATTTACCAACTTTGCTAGGAAAATCTCAGACTCTTTCCCTTGTTATTTAAATAATCTTTTCTTCTTCTTCTGTTGTGTTACTGTGCAGCAAAAGAGAGCTCACGTTGTTGCTGATAGGAGGGAGGAGAGCTTAGCAAGAGCGAGGGCAGCGATAAGAAGAGCGTGCCGTGGAAAGACGACTGCCGTCAACAACAGCACTTCGCATCACAAGGAGGGCAGATTTGCTCCCAGCGGACCCATCTACAGAAATCCTCGCGCCTTCCATCAGTTAAGATCTCTCCGTTGACTCTCCCTCTCTCTTTCTTCTTGACCTTTTTCTGGTGAGGGGTCAAATGATATCCAAGATAGGAAATATTTTTTAAAATTTTGAGAGATTTCAAGTATTTCGTATTAAATAAAATTAAAGCATTAATATTGCATAATCTTATAAAAAAGTCTAAAAATCAAAAGTAGAAGTACACTCGAGATAGTTATCTTTAATGGGTCCTTTTTTTTTTTTAAATTTTCCTATCATATAAACTAGGGTTACAAATGTTTCAATAGCTACCTCCAGCCTAATGAAGACTTTCATTGCATACCAAATGCCTGCCTACGCTTAATAATTTTTATGATTGTTTCCATCTTAGGTGCCAACTAATAATTCGTTTTGAATAAGATTGAAAAGATACGATGGGAATTTAAATGAGATCTTGGTATAGTGTGATTGGTAGAAGTCATGATCGGAATTGGATATGTTGTGATGCCTCATTGTATAGCGATAAGAGTTTAATCAGTCTTTTGCCCTGATCTTTTTATTGCACAATTTTGAAGAGGGTCCATAATAACATAGATTTGAACTTATACGCCAACAATGGAAAGAAAACACAATTTTTAGGCCGGATCTTGTATCTCACCAAAAGAACTCAAAGCATCTTTTCGGCGCAAATAAAAACTTGAAGTATCTTTTATTTTCAAACTTATATCGTGAAATTCCAACTAAATTAATTGATGCTCTAAGATGAACAATAAAGATATGTTACTAAGTCAGCAACAGATGATAGTTTAATACTCAATGCAGATATCTTCTTAATTCATAAATCTTCTATATGTATATTCTGATCTAGATTTATATTTCTCATCTCACAAAAAATTTCTACGCATTCACTAATTTAATCAAAATCAAACTTTTCTCACTTTATTTTTTTTTTTTTGAATAATTTTATGCACTAACATGTATCGTCCTCTTTTTCAATGGGGTATTGTAATATATGGATGTATATATTCATATTCGTAAGTGAATATAATATTGTCATCATATACTTGTATAACCTACAAGTTGCAAAGAGGATTTTCTCTTGGCATTGCTAGAAACTCTTTTTTACAAGATCTGAAATGAAAACATTGTTGAATACTGTAATCTTTGAAAACTTTATATGCTTAATTTTTGTTCAAATCTGCTTTTGACGATTACGGGAATTGTTTATAAATAGAATTAATCGGGTACTCGACCACTGTGAAACCCTAATCCGTCATGATCCAGTTTCACGTAGTTAGATTGATTGGTAACCCACGTAAGAAATCAAATAGGATTTGGGACTATATTTGATTAATTTAGTAGATTACAGGTCATATAATCTAACTTATTATCTAACTATGATATCCTTAATCAGTTAAATTTTAAAAAGTTACAAGATTATCAAGTTAATTTCATCAAATTCTAAACACAAATCATTTTCAAACCAACATTGTCCGTACAAATCTCAATCTCTCCCAATCTCCCTATAGCTTCTTGATAGGTTGTTATCATATTGGGAAAAATTGTTCCAAAATTCCTAAACTTATTGTACGGAGGCCAATTTGGTCATAAATCTTTTAATTGTGCCAATTTAGTTTTAAACATTTTGACGATTTGCCAATTTAGTCATAAACATTTTGATAATTTGCCAATTTAGTCTTAGACCTTTTGACAATTTGTCAATGTTGTCCTTCCGGCCAAAATATCCAAATAATAGGTTTAGGACTAAATTGGCAAATTTTCAAAAAGGTTTATGACTAAATTGATACAAAGAAAAATTTAGGACTAAATTTGGCACATTTGAAAGGTTGACGCAGAGGAAGATGGATTTGGAATATGATTCCAAAAGATAACGTTTATTCTCAATATCGAAGTATTATTTACAATATCTTAGGCGCCTATTTATAGGGAGGTCGCCTTTTGGGAAACAACTAAATATTTAAAATCAAATAATAAAATTAAGAAAAACAATATTAATAGAAGGAAAAGTCTTCAAAACGCATTCTGAAATCTGCAAATCACGTTCGAAATCTTTGAAGGCAATATTGATAAAGGAGAAAATTTTCAAAACGCGTTCTAAAATCTACAAATCACATCCGAAATCTTGAAGGCCTGGAAATCAAGAATTATCTTTGAAAGATCGGAAATCAAGGATTATTTTGAAAGATCGGAAATCAAGGATTTTGATTTGTTATGCTGTTCATGTCATAACTTCTTTGGATCAAAAGTTATGATCGTTTGAAATTAACCCGTCATTTAAGGCAAGGGCGGGAGCTCTCGCTCTTATAACGCTCGTAAGTTTTTATATAGGCATTTGCTATTTGTTCTAAATCAAAGATTTATGATTGAATTGATCTCCGTACGATAAGATTAGAACTTTTTGGATAATTATGTTGATTGATATTGAGTGGTAGATTGTCTCACCTTGTTCGTATCATCCATGCAGGAGCCACAAGGAGATGGAGAAGCGATTCAAGGTGTGGGCCTACAAGGAAGGAGACCCGCCCTTGTTCCACAAGGGCCCGATGAACGACATCTACTCGATCGAGGGCCATTTCATCGACGAGCTCGAGAGCAGCCGGAGCCCGTTCTCGGCCCGTGGCCCCGACGAGGCCCTGGCCTTCTTCGTCCCGGTCAGCGTCGTCAACATCGTCGAGTTCGTGTACCGCCCGTACACCACGTACGCCCGGGACCGCCTCCAAAACGTCGTGGAGGACTACATCGGCCTCGTCTCCCGGAGGCACCCCCATTGGAACCGGACCGGCGGGGCAGACCATTTCATGATCTCTTGCCATGATTGGGTAATTGAGAAATAGCATATTCTCTTTCATAATTTAGTGTAGAAATCACCAAGATTAAACAGTAATTAGGTCTTAAGTTGATTTTTTATTGTACTAGGGGCCGAGTCTATATAGCTTATACTGTTCGTCGTGTGAGATTTGATGGGACCGCTCCAAAAGTGAAAAAAATAAGCATTTTCTTTCTGTGTTTAGGCCCCGGAAGTATCCAATGGCCATCCCCAGCTCTTCAAGCACTTCATCAGGGTCCTATGCAATGCCAACAGCAGTGAAGGTTTCCGACCATCTAGAGACGTCTCGCTGCCAGAAATCTACCTTCCACGCGGAAAACTGCTCTCGCCCCGTCCCGCCCTGCCCCCGGACGACCGCTCAGTCCTGGCCTTCTTCGCCGGCGGCGTCCACGGCCACGTGAGAAAGAAGCTGCTCCGTCATTGGAAGGACAAGGACGACGAGGTCCGGGTACACGGGTACCTCCCCAAGTCGCTCAACTACACCGAACTCATGGGCCGGAGCAAGTTCTGCCTGTGCCCCAGCGGGTACGAGGTCGCGAGCCCCAGAGTGGTGGAGTCCATCTACGCCGGGTGCATCCCCGTGATCATCTCCGACGGATACGTGCTCCCGTTCAGCGACGTCCTCGACTGGACCAAGTTCTCGGTCCACATCCCGGTTGCGAGGATCCCCGACATCAAGAGGATCCTCAAGAGCATCCCCGAGGAGGAGTACCGGGAGAAGCAGAGGCGGGTCATGGAGGTGCAGCGGCACTTCGTGGTGAACCGGCCGGCCGAGCCGTACGACTTGATGCACATGGTGATGCACTCCGTGTGGCTCAGGAGGTTGAATTTGAAGCTGCCGTTGTGAATTCTTTTGGCCAAGGCTTATAGTCTGGACCCGTGGTTGAATTGTATAAACTATATAGTACTATATGTACAAATTGTAAAAGTTTGGGGGTGGAAAGAAAAAGATGGCACTATGTAGCAAAGCAACTAGACCGTGAAGGTGTGCGCAACATATAAATACATATTAATTATAAATTTGGCCGATTTTGTTTATATAAGTCGGATATTTTTTTATTAAAATATATAATATGTTGCCAATAATGAATTTTATAGTAAGTGTTTATTGATAGTCAGTGCATAAGTCATCATGGTCATAAGTTCAGCAACGTCAAAGTGGAACGTGAAGATTGGTGCAAAGGCGGGAGCAGTAGTTGTTATTGTATTGAATTTCAATGTGTATTGTGTATATGAGCAGTTGTGAAGTTAAAGAGGGAAAATCCGGTCGAGGCGCCAGGGATTTCTGACTCGGACCTAAAGATCATCCATTCGAATCGCATCAATTGCGCGCTGACTCCTCTGGTCAGGGCCGCCATACAAGCCAAAGGTCTCGATTAAACCGATTTATGGTTCCATAGACTTCTAGGTATGTGGGTATCAACACTTGTACCTCTAACTGAAGGGACGTATCGAGAACCGAAACAGAACGATCACGCAGAAAACAGAGAAAATAGACGATACACGAATTTACCCAGGTTCACCCTCGATTAGGGTTACGTCCTGCAAAGAGATTTCACTATGTTTTTCGGTTTACAGCCACTCAACTCGTTTTTAATGATCAGAAAAACGAGCAAAATATATATATGCCCCAAACGGGCCCAAAACCTAAACCTATATGAAATCTCTTAATCTCGCACTATACGGGGCAGCCCAAACCCGTTGAGGTTTCGGGCGCCGCCCGAAGCCCCACGCCCTCTCCACCGGCGGCGTGGCGGCAATCCGCCTGACAGGACGGCAATGGAACCCCTGTCAGGGCGCGCTCGAACCCCTTCCGCCAGCCACGACCGGCAATTGGCATCGTGTCGGGGCGCCGCCCGAACCCCCGCATTCCGCACGCATGGGTCACATGTCGTCGGACAACACTTCAATTTCCCTAAGCTCACGTGGGCGTACCCGGTGTGAGAAAAAAGGGTCCCCGAAGTATTCGCCAACTCCAACACTAACTAGGTACGTATCGGACATCTTTACAGCTTTTATTGCAGTTTACATTTACGACACTTTCCTTCAATTTAGTCCAATCATCTCAGTTTGCCACGACTTCTCCAAATCGATTTCACGAACCCAAAATCGAGCGTCCCATTCCTTTCTCGACTCTCGATCGTCTTTTCCACGAGGATTGTGATCGTCTGTTACCGAATTTTACGGAAAATCTAAAGCAATCAGACATAAAATCATGGACTTCGATTGAGTTTTCTTGTTTTATTTCTACGGATGAAAAGCGAGATTGTTTTTAGGGATAAGCGCATTAAAAGTCCTCAAACTTGTCACCAAAGTACAATTGAGTGTCAAAACTTTAAAAATTGTAATTAAGTTCTAAAACTTGTCACGAAAGTACAATTACGCCCTAAAACTTTTAAAAAGTGCAATCAAGTCCTCAAACTTATCAAGTTGGTGCAATAATCAAGCGATAATGACAAAGATAGTCCCTGAATTTTGGCCCAATGTGTAATGTAATCCTTGAACTTTTAATTTAATTAATACGGTCCGTGAACTTTAGCTTAATGTGCAATGTGGTCCCTGAACATTTGGTACATGTTCAAACTAGTCCATGAACTATATAAAAATGTTCAATGTTGTCCCTGAACTTAAATTAATGGAATGATAATATTGAACATTTTCATATAATCCAAGGACTAGTCTAAACATATACTAAAATTTCAAGGACCATATTAAACGAATTAAAAGTTGAAGAACCACATTGAACATCTTCATATAGTCTGGGGACTAGTTTGAACATGTATCAAAACTTCAAGGATCGCATTGAACAGATTAAAAATTTAGGGACCACATTGCATATTGGATCAAAGTTCAAGAATCATTTATGGCATTTTCCCTGCATTCAAGTTCTAAAACGTGTAACATTTTTTATTTGTCAAGTTTGACAGAGTTAATGAAATGACTTGATCGCACTTTTTGAAAATTTTAGGATTCAATCACACTTTCAAGATAAGTTTTAGGATTTAATTGCATTTTCGCAATAAGTTTTAGAATTTTCAATACATTTATCTCGTGTTTTTTTTTTTGTAGGGGGAGTCATGAAAGGAAACAATCCGCATCCACAAGTGAGCTGTGAACATACCGCCAGGATGAGCTGTGGATCGAAACGATGTAGCCTTAGCTTAGAAGTATGCTTTGTTGATAAAAGCACTTAATCTCATCATTAACCCCTTTTTAGCTGAGCTTATTCCCTAATCCTCCTGGTACATCGTCGACACGCATGATTGCCGTTTCGCGCCGTGAAATTAATCGTGTAAATTACGTAATACCAACCGCGAAAAATTAAAAAGTACTTTTCAGGGCACGGTAAGTAAATTTTCGAATATAGTGAAAAATAATAGTAGTCACAAAAAAAGGTTGTATCTAATTAATTTACGTTTTTATAACATTGAGCAGCAAATCCTCTTTTGGGAGACATTATATACAGGGAAAATGAAACAGCTGGTCCTTGAACTTTAATCGAATATTTAATGTGGTCCATGAACTTTAATAGAATGCGTAATGTGGTCCATGAACTTTTAATTTGTTCAATGTAGTCCCTGAACTTTAGTCCAATGTACAATATCGTCCCTGAACTCTTAATTTGTTTAATGTGGTAACTGGATTTTTGACACATGTTCAATTTATTCCCTATACAGCATGAAAATGCTTAATGTAAGTCATTCCATTAATTCAAGTTTAAGGACAACATTGAATAGTTCTGTCGCGACCTAACCTCCCGCGGTGCACCACCTAGGGGTTCGGCTAATGGATTATTAAGTCTAAACTTAACTCGGGCCCTCCCAAGCCCTACTAATTCGCAACTTAGGGTTTAAGTTCTTAACATGCAAATTATTTCAATCAGGAGTTGCCACTAATCTAGTTTTTGGTAGGTCGATTAGAAACCCAAGTAAAGTATCGGGAAAATTACTTTACTCCTACGAACCAGAGATTATGGATTCGGAGACTTGGTTACATTAGATTACTCTAATGCCCTTTCGATACCTTTTCTCTTTTATTTCAAAAAAATATTTGCAGACAGCTTGGATTGATTTTAAACATATCCACTAACATGCGATGTGATTATGCGGTGCGCAACCAATAATAAAATACTCAATAATGCAAAGCAATAAATAAATTATAAGATAGGGACTTACCTCAAAGCAGTGAAAGCATCTGCAATGTTAGTTATAAAATCATATTGACAATCCTAATATGATTTTTAATTAACATGCAATTTCACTCAAATCTTTTTTAGGGTTTTCTCTGATTTAACAAAAACTAAACTTTATGCAATGCATTCTATGTCTAGTATGACATGCGACATACGATTTATTCAAATGTCCTAATTCTAACAACAATTAAATGCACTATCTCTAATGTGGCATGCAAATGAACCTAGACGTGAGATTTCTAATGACAAGAATTAATTTATATGCAACTACTCTAATATGACATGCACGTGGTATTTTTTTATATTTTTTAGTTTAAATTCGGAATAAATAATTAACCTAATTTAAACATGTAATAATAAAATCTAAGAAAAGAATCTAATGTATTCTAAGAAAACAATCAAAATTTATCCTAAACATGCAATCTATTATCTACTCAAATTTTACCTAATCTTTTTGTATTTTTTTTATGGAAAAACAATCAATTCAATTCAAACAAAAGACGGAAAAAAATAGCAATGAACATGACACCCAATCACAAGAAATATTATCCATATCCATTTAAATTTAGAAACAATAGATTGACGAATCATATCTCGAGCATGAGGATCGGATTGGCCAATCTTCCGCACAATCGCGAATCATATCTCGGACGGGAGATCGGATTGACGATTTTTCGCACAATCGCGAATCATATTTCGGGCATGAAATCGGACTGTCGATCATATGCACGTTGTGAAATTAAGAAATAATTCCTAATTTAGAGGCTATTCGGGAATTTAATAGATACGATAATATTATTGAAAGATTCGCACAAGATTGCAATATTTCAAATAAAGAAACAATATACTCGAAAAGTAAATTAGATGAGATTTTTACCTAATTCGAATATTTACTTTTCAAGTTTGAACCGGGGGATGGTGGCGGGCGACGACGAGATGGCTCATTGAGGAGCGCCCACGATGAGGCTCAGCAAGCCATCGTTGGAAAAGGTTGGCGCGGCAGGATGGATTTCGATGTTCCTGGACCAAAAACATAGTCAAAGAATCAAGTGACGAAGCTTTGGCCCATATTGTACTGAATATGCACGGGATTTGTCGGGTGTTGCTGGATTCCGATGAAAATCACCCGGAAATCTCAATCTCGCCGAGCAGCGATTGGGATCTGCTGAAGATGGCTCGCTAGTATGAGATCTCGTGGTGAACGTCGGGCTCGTATGGACCGTCGCGGATCAATCTGCAAAGTAGGAACACTTGAGACGACCATAGTGAGATGCGATAGCTATGATGGCGGCAAGGGACTCCGGGCGAGGCCGAGGACAACGCCCGGTGATTTCTCGGTGACGTAAGTGCAACAACAGCAGGATCCGTAGGTTGGGCCTCACGATGCAAACCGGGGAGGTTCGGCTTGTGTGAGGACGTCGCGGGGGGCTCCGCGGCTGGTCGTCGGTGTCGATCGCCTGGGGCGCGAGGCGCTTGATGTCAATGCTGCGAGTTGGGCGTGACCTAGGGTACTCGAAGCGCGTCACTGACAGGACGCTGATATCGGATGATAGGGTTAATTCCAAAAAAAAGCACCAACTTTAGGTCGAGGGACAATTTTGGCCCCAACTTTTTTTTGTCCCGTAAAAAAGCACCAACTTTAGGTCAAGGGACAATTATGGCCCAAACTTTTTTTTGTCCCGTAAAAAAGCACCAACTTTAGGTCGAGGGACAATTCTGGCCTGAATTTTTTTTTTGTCTCGTAAAAAAGCACAAACTTTCACTTAAATCCCAAATCTGGCCCTTATTGACTTAAAACCATTGATTTTCCAACTTGACTATTCTACCTTAGCAATAAATCCATGTGATTTGCTGACTGGATTTAAAGCATTATTCATTGTCTTATTCTCTGAACCACAGCTTGAAGAATAACGGTGAAACTGTTCGTCTCCTCCACTTCACCAGCAAGTAAAAAATATCTCTAGATTGAATCTTTCTGGCCAAACTTCGTCGTTTTGTCGTAATCTGAAGCTGTAGACCATCGCCCGTCGACAGACGCCATGGAAGAGATTCGCCAAGCTCCCCACCATAACTTTTTTTTCTTAAATAAGGGTAATTTCATACAGAAAGTCAATGGGGGCCAAATTTGGGATTTAAATGAAAGTTAGTGCTTTTTTACGAGACAAAAAAAAGTTCGGGCCAGAATTGTCCCTCGACCTAAAGTTTGTGCTTTTTTTATGGGACAAAAAAAAGTTCGGGCCAGAATTGTCCCTCGACCTAAAGTTTGTGCTTTTTTTATGGAACAAAAAAATATTCGGGCCAGAATTATCCCTCGATCTAAAGTTAGCGCTTTTTTTTTAAATTAACCCTAATCCGATAAGTGCGTCGACAATCAATGGCTGCTTGCTGGCTCGGTGCTAGAAATTCTGACTTCGCTATGAGAACTAAGTCAAGTGGTTGTATCTCTTTCGTGGCCGCGTCTTTCAGTACGTGTGGCCCCCCTCTCGCTATGCTTCCACTCACGATTTTTTCCACTGGCAAATTCATGGACTCACGAATATTTTCTTTCCTCCTTCTTTTCAATCAAATATTCCCTTTATCGACTAAATCTTGCTCTCGGTTATTTATTCCCTCAAATAGTTGATCTCACAAATATCATGAGAATTATACCGATTATTTCATTCTTATTTGCTATGTGACTAAAATCTTGATAATATCAAGCTTTATTGCTTTAAATTGTCATCAAATTTTCCTAACTTGATACACATGATTTCGGCCACGGCAGGTTTAGTTCAGTTAAGCTCAGAATCATTCACTTGATTCCATCTGCCGCCGATCCAATGCAAATACAATTATGTGAGCCTAAATACTAATTCAAATGCTCCTGATCTATATGTAATTTAACTAATTTTTTGTCTAGGAACCGGAATCGATTCCTAATTTTATATGCAACGAGCGACTGACTGGATCGCCAAAATTTAGATATCAATAAGTTTCATGCAATTCAGAGATTAAATTAAATATGTACCAAAAGTTCATATACTATATTACATAAATTAAAATTTATACATTAAATTAAAATTTAAAATCACATCAAATAAATTATAAATTTATTGCGTTGAGTCGAAATTTAGAAACTAAATGTTTGGTTTTCGCTCGGGCGTGTGTATATGTATAGGGCTTCACATCACATCACATCACATCACGCCCTCCACGATGTCAGTTACGGCGTCGCACCGTCTTCTTCCCGTCGCGCGTGGCATTTTCGTAAATTCTCCTCCCCCCTCCCCGCCCGCCCCCTCCATTTCCCCCCCTCAAAAAGCCCTCCCGTAACCGCTTTCCCTCGCTTTCCCGAGAACACCACACCCCCGAGCTCTCCCACCCCCACCGGAGCGAAAAAGCTCCGTCGTTCGTCCGCCTGGAAACGAAGCTCGATCGGAGTCGGAAGCTCGGAGATGGAGGCTCGCCGGAGAATCGCCGCGCAGGCTGCTCTCTGCTCGGCGTGCCTGGCGGCCGTCGCCGCCCTGGTCCTGCTGTCGTCGTCGTCGTCGTTCGATTTCGGCGAGCTGGCCAGGTTCGTTCCTGATCCCTGGGAGCCGAAGTCCGGCCCGCCGGCGGTTCGCCGGTCGGTGGTGCGGGAGCAGGCGGCGACGAGCTCGTCGTCGAGCGATCCGGTTCGAGCCGCGAGCTTCGCGTCCGCCGCCGGAGTTCGGCCGAGCCCGCGCGGAAGCACGACGGCGGCGGCGATCGTGAGTTTCAGTAGCTGAGTGTAGCGATGCGCATGACCGCTGCTAGTTCTCTCTTTCGCGGCTCCTTCAATGGAAGCTTCACTGTTCTGACCTGCGTGATCGTCGAACCAGGATCTTCATAGGAGCACGTTGCTCCTTCGAAGAGATCGTCTCTGCATCTCCTTTTTTGTGTGTCGATCGCATGCTTCGCGGCTCGATTGCTCGTTTTTGCCTTCTCTCGCTCCCTTCGTTAGATGTTTCTCTGTTCCGACCTGTTCGATCGCCGAACGAAAATCTTCATACTGAGTGCATTTGTTTTCGCGCTTTCGTGTTTAGTTTGATTGATGCTACGTATTTAGATTTAGTTCGAGCGCTTCTCAATTTTAACAACAGTCCTTCGATCCGATCCGATCCTCAGAGAAAGACCGAGAAAGCTAGCGAAGAACGAAAATTGGAGCTAGGATTGGCGCGAGCGCGTGCGGCGATTCGGAAAGCCTCGAAGCTCGGCGATCGTCCTTCCAACCGCAGCGGCTATGACACCGCAAAGGCCGTGTACCGCAATCGCCGCGCGTTTCTCCAGTAAGTTCCTCGGATTCATGTTGTTTTCCGTCTCTGAATTGCTTCATGCATCACCTAGTTCGACTTTGGTTCTGCAATTAACTTTGTTGATTCCACGAACATGCTATAACATTGGTCTCTCCACTTTCACGTCACCTTGGTATTAGCTCTTCTAGTGATTCTGCATGCATCATTGGGTGATGACAGTTAGCTTAGTCCAAAGTAAACACGACATGTCAATTCGTTACTCCAACCTATGGAAACACACCTTTTAAAATACTCAAAACCACGTTTACAATGGGGCAATGCTGGAACCTAGAGATACTAAAACAAGTTTAAGGAATTGATTTCGACCCATACTTTTGTCCGAGGGCGCTCGAAGATAATCCGCTCGTCGACCGAAAATTCACGGTTTCATCGCGTCATTCGGTAAACCGGTATTGAATCGACAGCATTGGCATCCCATCCTTGTGTAGTGATAACACCGAGTATTACTTCAAGTTAAAGACCCCCCCTGCTTCACCTATCATGTCCCTGATCATGTAGAAAGAAAAACCTTGTTGTTCAAGCCGCGCATGCGCTCACCTTCTTCATGGCACGCACACGTGTCGCCTTCCTGCACTCAAAAGGCTGTGGAAAAAAAAGGAAGCAGTGTGCTCATTGGTAATAAGTAATTGGCTCGGGGAAGTGGCACTCGACCCTGAAATTAAGTGGGTGGAGCAACTTCTGCGAACTCCAATGAAATTGTGGATGCGATGTGCTTAGTGTTAGTGAATGGTCCCTCGTCCACTTCCACCCACTAATCTTCAAGATGGTGAAAAAAGCACTCATGTTCAGCAGACTGTCTAGTTGGGCTGCTAGAAATTTTTTTCGCAGTAGACTCGTGGACCACATTGCTTTTTCCGGTCATGACACTCTCTGCCCTCTCTCGTTATAGCTTAAGAGACCTTGTGCATTTAAGGCCAGGCAGCATTACTCTAAATAATACTAATGGTATAGAGATGCTAAGAAGATATCACTAAACATTTTGTTTTGTGAAGTTGGGGTTTGGGTCGTTTTCTTTTCTTTAATTTTTTTGCTATATGAGGTATTAAAACTTTTAGTTAAACTAATCTCTAAAGATATACAGAAATCACTGCTTATGGTTTCATCAAGTTATAGTGTAGAATGCCTAAAAGTAGAAGAAGATGAAAAGTCGAGGTATTTAGAAAGCTCTTGCAAAGTCTATTTAAGATACTTTCATGGAGTTTGTCCTTGTCAAAACTTTTATTTTATTTACCTTTTTCACTGCTCTAATTTGAAATACATAAGTTACAAAAATAGTTAATTTACCTTATAGTGGAAAATTAAATTATATAGTTCTTAAAAATTACAAAATCACGGATTGATTATACAGGGCATTGAAAATATGTTCGTCGCATAGCTAAAACGGTAGTTACACGGCATTGCAATTATAGTACAGCTTTTTAACAAAGATACAATACCTTTGGCCAAAAAACGAATAAGCTAAAAAAGGATACGGCCTCTATACCATGTAACTTGTGATTTTGCTTCAAGTTTTTTTTATTTTTTTATTTTATGTTTGACTTATACCCCAAGTCTGTGTCGATTCTTGATTATATCATTATGGTCTAGTGCCGATTACGCTAATCATGTACGTGCTAACTGGTACCATTGCAATATCTTTATCTTAATCCCGACGATATGGAGGATACATCATGATTTTCCCAGTTCCTCAACTCCAAATTATGATGAGGGACGTCCACATGTAGTACCCACGAAGCCACAGTAGGCCCCTGATAATGCTTGGTCCAATAAGAACCAGAATGATGACTTGTCCATTTAAGTAGTTCCTTAATAAAGCTAATTCCCATAAATATATGCAGGAGTTACATGGAGATGGAGAGACGGTTCAAGGTCTACGTGTACTCGGAAGGGGAGCAACCCATCGTCCACGACGGGCCGTGCAAGGACATCTACACCATGGAAGGCCGGTTCATCCACGAGATGGAGCATGGGTCATCATCGGCCAGGTTCAGGACGCGGGACGCGAGGCACGCCCATGCCTACTTCATGCCGTTCAGCGTGACCTGGATGGTGAGGTACCTGTACAAACCTCCCACATACGACTTGACCCCTCTCCGGCGGTTCGTCGCCGACTACGTGAGGGCGGTGTCGGCGAAGTACCCGTTTTGGAACCGAACTCGTGGGGCTGACCACTTCATGGTGGCCTGTCATGATTGGGTGAGTCGTCGTCGCTCTCTATAGCGCTCCTACCTCGTATTGTTTCATGAAAATTTTGTGCCTTCTTTTTAGTTGGCAATTTAGGGCTTTGATCATGCTTCTTTGCTTCTACGTCACATCATGAGTTCTGGCATTAAATAACCAATGTATATATCTTTTTGTCCTAGCTAGATTTTAGCCTGGTCTTTAAAGGTATAGATAATTAAACGTGATGATAGCTTATCGTTTGAAGCCTTTCAATGCAAGTAACTTTTATAGTCCACCCTTTGCAGTTGTAGGAGTATAAAATCTCGATCTGATATGATTAAAGCTGTTAATGTTCGACCAAAAAAAAAAAAAGCTGTTAAATGAGTGGCTTGTACCTTTCCAAGTAGGGCTTACGTAAGAACATTAAAAACTTCGGGTATTGTCTTTCTGTGGCCAAAATTTAATAAGGTTATAAACAAAAGTCATTCAATTTCTTGACTGCCTGTCTACTTTCTAGTGTCGATGTTATGAAACAAAAATATCATGGACAAAAAACTGCTTATAGAATAAAATAAAAATATTACGGTGTAAACCAAGCCCATCTGAACCGTTGATCATATGAGCTCCACAATGAAGCTCGTACTATTAATAATTCAAATCTTTCGAATTGATTTTGTCCCATAGTTATGTGTAATTAATTGGTAGCCGCATTAAATTCATAACTGAAGACATTTTGCTCAGCAGATTTCGGGGCTTAAGATTTTGCAAGATGATTACAAAATTGAGATTCTTTGATCACTACCTTTGAGGTCTAGGAATTCATAACAAGATATCATCAGAGCATGTTGTAGAATCGAAACCCTTTACATCTCAAGAAGAATCACATGGAAGTGATGAACATATCAATAAATTGTTCATATCAATCTTTATTTGGGCAAATAATCGTTTACAAACAATATTAGTAATTCATCTTGGATGAGACCTTGATTGATATTTGGATTCTCAATACGACGAAACCGTTCCAATTGCAGGGCCCTCATGCATCCCTTGGCGATCGCCATCTCTACAACAACTCGATCCGTGCCTTGTGCAACGCCAACGCCTCGGAAGGCTTCAACCCTCAGAAGGACGTGAGCTTACCCGAAATCCACCTCCTGGACGGCAACATCTCCCCTAAACTCCTCTCCCCGCAGCCGCTGAACGTCCCTCGCCCGCTCCTGGCGTTCTTCGCAGGCGGCCTCCACGGCCCGATCCGGCCTCTCCTCCTCCGCCACTGGAAGGACAAGGGCGACCCCGAAGTCCACGTCTACGGGTACCTCCCCAAGCACTTGGACTACTACACCCTCATGCTCCAATCCAAGTTCTGCCTGTGCCCCAGCGGACATGAAGTGGCAAGCCCTAGGATCGTCGAGGCCATCTACGCTGAGTGCGTGCCGGTCATCATCTCGGAGCACTACATCTTGCCGTTCAGCGACGTGCTGGACTGGGATGCCTTTTCGGTCAAGGTCGAGGTGTCGGGGATTCCGAGGCTGAAGGAGATACTGAAGGCGGTGCCGGAGGATGAGTACAGGAGGTTGAGGCAGGGCTTGAAGGCTGTGAGGAGACACTTCGTGCTGAACCAGCCGGCGAAAAGGTTCGATGTGTTCCATATGGTGTTGCATTCTATATGGCTTAGGAGGCTGAATCTTAATCTCGGATAGATAATTCCAATCTCCATTGACCTAAGAACGTGGTGTCATGCATAGAGTAAATAGATCCACGCTTCAATAGAAACCTAACAACTCAAACCAATCTAGAACAGTTTGACTTGGTTATACTACATCTTCAAGTATATTCCATTGAACAAAGTGGGATTTTTAGAAGGGGGGAAAAGTGGATGCTCGTCGATTCGAATGGCAAACCCATGAATTGCAGACGAGAATCATGGTCAAACTTTCCGATCGCAACTTCCATTATTTACAATCCAAGGTAAACGAAAACGCCGATTATTCATGTACAATCCGTTCCCCAATTGAAAGGCCTTCTCTAGAACTGACTCTACAATTCTACCATGTCAAGGTCCCTTTATTTACAAGCCTAAAAGAATCGTCTAGCAGCATTTCATTTCTTCCCTCTTCATCGGCCTTTTGTTTCTCTGCCCTTCTCTCATGTACAGCTTCCCAAGATTAATATATAGTGGAACAGCCTAGAGAGAATGTAAGTAGCTGCGTTTGATATTTCGTATCGCTAGATGGTGACAAAGTTGTGGGAGAGCCGTTCGATCCGAGACTTCAAAAATCCTCCGAGGGATGAGAAGGGCGTGTTCGGCTTCTCGGGCGAGCCCTGTCCCTTGGTCTCGGTCTGCACGGCGAGCTTTATAGGGCCCATCTCTCTCTTCATGCGATCCACGAACTCCATGTCCACTTCGTTCCCCGAGATGTCCTTCAAGTAGAACGCGTTCACCGCCTTCTCCCCCTGTGTTTCCACGTCCGCTCGGACCACAGCTAGTCCGTTCTCGCGGAGCACCCTTGTTATGTCGGAGAGCAACCCGATTCTGTTGTTCGCACATAATTCTAGCCTGAACCCCTATTTACCAATAGACAAAAAGCTAAGGTTATGACGGAAGATGGCTTTGCAACGATCATTATAAACTCATGGGCTTTGATGACGATGAGATGAACTATTCTCCTGTTTGAAGAAATTTCACTGAAAGCTTCTTTATATCAAGTGGTATGCCATACCGGCTACTTCGATCCGGAACTACCACTATGTAGTTGCACCTAAACTAAGTAGCATTATATTTGAAGATTCGGTGGTGTTACCTCACAAACTCGCCGCTCAATAGCAGCCTCCAAGCACTTCATGACGCGCTCTTTCTCGCTGTCTGTGCTCAATGCACTGCCATCTATATGCCGGATGAAATACTCCTGCAGATGACACGAAAAGAATGTTATAACCAAGAGATGACTGATTTAGGATCTTGATCTTTAACCAGTTTGATAAATTCTCTCATTCGAATTAGATCTTTGCCTACATAACAAAATACAATGCTTAGGGGAACTATAGTTTAGTTTCTAGAGAAATGTTTGATCCCATGAAATTTATGAGCTACGTCAATTTAGTTAGTATGCGGAAATGATAAGGGATGTAGGTAATCTTAATACCATGACTGACCTAGAAATTTGCTGTCAAATTTAAGTTTTGCGCGCCTTAAAAAATGATTAGTAGCTTACAACGTAAAGAAAACGGACGAGAGATGCAGCTAGTTATCACGTAATATGACAGATAAAACAAGAGATCAATTAAATAAACAAAAATCAGATATCGGACCATCTATTTTCCATTAATTGTCATGCAGACCAGGAGTTGTATTTAAGAAACATACCTGATATGCATAACCTCCCCGAGCACAAGCTGATGCATGAAATATAACATACTGCATGTCCGTAAGCGTGCAAACAGTGTCGAACATGAGCCGACGCCGATCCTTGCACTTGATGTTCACTACCGAATATCCTTTTTCATTCCATTCTTCGATGGAGATCCTCAAATTTTGGCCATTTCTATCCGGTCCCAACCCCATCGGTATGATTGGTGAGCTCGAAGACTCGGAAGCTGGCTCATCGAAGTCCCTCACAGAGAGCATAAGCTGATGCAACCGGCGCTCGACGTTCGTCATCATACCTAAATCAAAGAATATGGAATACCCGTCATATGTGCAATCGAGAGCTTGCGATAACGCTTAGTGAAGTTGATTTTAGAGGACTTTCTTGGAAAATGGGTTGCTCTTTTTTTCTTAAACACTGAATCAAAGACTCTAAAGAAATTGTAGGATCGAAAGATGCGAAAACCAAAAACCTCAGTAAGCAATTTGGGATGCTTAGTAAAATGTACCTTCCCCTCCTTGAAGATCAGAAGCCTTCACTTCCCGTTGGTTTGGTGGAGCAGCCCTCTGTGAACCGGATGTTTGGTTTGCTCGGAGCACCATGGTGAGGTGGTCTTCGATTGTGGCAAGCCGACTCCGGTCTTTGATTGGGGTGTTGGTGCGCTGATCCGAAATGTAGGCAACACAAGCGAGGTGGGTGTTGTGGCTCCATGCGTGAGCTTCGACAATGTTGCAGTGGAGGTCGGCTAGAGTGGCTGAGATCTCTGAGAAGAGTCCCGGCCGATCTGTCCCAGTCATCTCGATGGCCGTATGCTCATTGTAATGCTCGGACAACAGTAGAGTGCTGTTGGTATATACTTTGGCCTTGGCTTTCGGTGACGATGGTGATGCTGAGCTGGAAGTTTCCCTTGTTGTGTCAATGGCCTGCATATGCTTTGTCACATTAGAATATGGTGCATCGTTAGATAGCAAAGAGAGAAATTAATCACTACCTGCTGAATATAGTCGATGACTCTCTGGTCTCCAATTTTGTTTCCATGCTCATCTTTAACGTAAAAAACTGTACAAATGAAGAAAAATCGACGGTCACCAACATATAATATAAGTAGCTAAACTCACAATGACCTCATGCTGTTATTGCTTCAATTTTCCATCCAAAAATCAGTCTTAAATGTACTATATATATATGGCCGCGTTTAATCGGATTTCTTGAGAACTGTAAGAAATTAAGACTAATGGCAATCGAACAGCTATAAATCTTTGCAAATATTTTGTTCACTCCATCACATTGCTGTACAAATAGTATAGCTAACATTGTTCAATCTGAAGTTTAGTGTTCCTAACTTATGGAATACACGAATGAGGTAATAAATTTATTTAGGCATCCATTGACTTCTTTCTCACATGAATCAATTAGCGAAATTGCACTAAATCTCTTAGTATTTGTAGCACTTTGGGGGTAGGGGAAAGAAGCATTAGTACCATCCATGAACCATCCCCCATCAGAAGAAATGTAGCTCTTGGAGATGGACAGGTTCATGTCCGTCAACACTTGGACAACTTCCAGGAGCAGCCCTTGCTTGTTTACGCTATCGACCTTTCGAAAAACAACGTGACTTAGTCATTATCTGTAAACCTTGGATGAATTAAGTGAATAGACGAAATCACAAGGGTGCTCATGTAAGAACTGATAATTAACTGAATAGTACCTTAATCACTGTGCAATCTTCCATGCTTTCATTATCAATGCTAACTCTGCAGCTGCAACCGATAAATGATCGAGACACAGATAAGTCTTTAGCATATGACTAACAGGTTCTAACAATTACAAAGCACGTTTGATCAGTCAACAACGGAGAATGCTTACGTAGGGCCATATATCCTCTCGCGGAGGTTTTCGAAGTCGGGATCAAAGTAAGGCCAACAAACTTTCTGCATCCTGCAACAAACGAATAGACAAATAAACAAATTAGTTTAACAATAAGACAAAGCCCTTGATCATGAAAGAAATGACAATACGGAGTTGCTGCTAATGTCATCAAACATAGAGTTCGTGTGCAGTAATAATATTCACACATTAATGTTTGAAAATGAAAATGGAAAAGCATATGCATATTTTGACCCACATAACTTTTTAGGGTTTTTGTATCACCATAAGAAGTTTGCATATTCAAGAAAACTTGTGTGCATGAAGCTGGGAAGAAAATTCAAACTGAAAAAGTGTGAGAAAGATGGGATGTTCCACTGGGTATTGCATGTATATTTCGAGGTATATAAAGCGTTCTTGGACAAGCTCAGAGAGAGAAAGAGGGCTTACTCAGCTGCACCCGCCAACCTGAGCAGCCTTCGGAGCAGGAGAAACGAAGGTGAGAGAAAGATTATGCTGAAGAAAGGTATATGCGTTTACTTTCCCCTTTGAAATGGGAACAGCACCACTCCCTTTTCTCCTTTTGTATCTCTTCCACAGAGAGAGAGAGAGAGAGAGAGAGAGAGAGAGAGAGAGAGAGAGAGAGAGAGAGAGAATGTTGGGAGGTGATGATGATGAGGTGGGGTTGAGGTCTGCGAAGGGTAGAGAGATGAGGTTAAATAGGGGAGGAGAACGAACGAGAGGTACGCATTGGAGAAGATTCAGAGAAGAGCGCGAGAGAGGGCACGTACCCCTCCTTCATCATTACATGCATTGCCCGCAAGTCAAACCATACTTATCGCCACGTTTTTCATATATATCTCGTCTCATCTGCATATTCTTCTTCTTCTTCTGATAAGAAAAGGATACTATTCTTCTTGCTGTATCAATCACCAAATGATTACGTAATTAATCAGGTCCGTCAATGACATTGGTAGGGCCCAGGGATCTCTCCTTTGTTCTTGGCCTCTTCCTTCTTGGCTGGAAACCACCTGTGTTTCTGGTGCAATGGAGTTGAAGTTTCTAGGCAGGTGCAAAGCTTTGGGAATCGAATACGAACACGTCGCTGGGAATGTTGTGGGCAATCAGTGCTTCCGTGATCCTCTTCCTGGGGTTTGGCCAGTTTTGGTCACATGTGGATGGACACTATTCATCTATATTCCAATCCATGCAACATTATTGGATTGTCGTCATACACTACGTCGGCGACTGATACAAGACGGCACCTCGAATACCATTCTAAAGATCTCGACTTTCTTTTTAAGGATGCTAGGGCTAGTCAAGCTTGGTTTACGCATGACAGTGCAAAACATGATATGTATTCAACAACAACGGCATTCGGTCGAATACATACCGATGTACAAAATTCGGCAATACCGAATGACATGACACGTATATATTGGATTTTGACACGACCTATTGAATCGTATTGTATCTACCATCGCTATCTTTTGTCAAATTCTTTAATTAATTAGAACATGTTTAGTCAAGGTATATGTCAAGCCACATATCCAAGAATCAAGAATCTTTTCCTTGGACCATTATTAAAACCTTCCCTTTTTTATGGTCTTAATCACAGCAATTAGCAAGCTACAATGGGTGGAGGAAGCTCCTTTCTCTGTGCTTAACAAAGGCTTCGGGCAGCTTCGGAGAAACACACATGCGAAGCGATGTCGTTGTCAGCATATGAAATGTCTTATAGCCATCAATCGTGGGTCGAATGTAACCCTAAGCCTGAACGGATCGATTCGACCCGACCCGAAAAATCGAGCCTCCAGGATCGTTTACCGTTCAATTCCGTTCATGCTGTCAGATTTTTTCCAAAATGGACAAAATCCTGAGTTCCCGGACATTCTTTAGCCACATTCATTGAATCTGCCCATTGATAGCAACATCCAGCTCATATCCAGACACATGACTAGGAGTTTCAAGGAACTGGTCGTGTTAAATGTAACTACGTTACGGCACATGCCAACCCGAAACTTTCCATTTGAGGTATGAACGAATTGGGATGATGACCTTGATGGTTCCTGAACTTTTGTCTATTGTGCGATGTCGTCCTTTGACTCTTAATTTGTTCTATGTGGTCCATAAACTATTGATAAATGTTCAATGTATTCCTTCGTTTTACTCAAATGACAAATCAGACTTTATTTGATGACCTAGATTATTATATGCTGAATCGGATGTTTTTAAATGATGAGTCAATATATCTATATTTTTATCAATCATTTTGGAAAAGAAAAATAAAAAGGTGTCGACATATTCATCATTATTTGATGATGTGGATTATTATATTTTGATTTCAGATGAATATTTTATATGGATAGTCCACGTGTTTTTTTTTTGGTTCACCACTCAAATTTAATGGATTAGAAGTCAAATCAGCAGATTTCATTAACTTAAATTAATTGAAATGACTACATTTTCATATAATTGATGGACTAGATTAAACATTCACCAATTATTCAAGAGCCTCATTAAACAAATTAAAAGTCCAAGGATAATATTGTACATTAAACCAAAGTTTATGGACAATTTGTGTTATTTTCCCTAATGGATTCAATTGAGTATAAAACGCATGAGAAGCAATGAGAGCTCATAGCCACAGGGGGACAGAGATCGAGAATATACAAATCACGGCACGACAGCGCGTTGAAAGGGAAAGTTCAGATACATTAATCAAATGGCATTAGCCCGCAAAAACAATCTCATGAGCACCATAGCGGCCGAATTTATCTTGAATGTGAAACGGGAAACTAGGAAAATTGGACGATGGTATGCCTAAGAGCATGTCTTTTCACAAGTTTGATAAGGTCAAAGTCCAACATATCCTGAGGAAAAGTCTGCAAGTTCAATGGATGAGAGAGATTGAGAGATCAGGATCTTTCCTAGTACTTGACTCCATGAAAGATGCAGGAGATCAGGCTACCACTATTAGATTTTACGTCATTTCGAACAGAACGAATGAATCAATTTAACTTTGTAAATGGAGAGTATCGCACCGTAATCACATATCTGCGAATCATGCCTTAGCTATATCGCAAAAGCAATACCTGTTACTCCGACAAGAACGAATTACCGAATAATTGTCCAAAAAATCCTAAAACTATTGTACGGCAGGCAATTCAATTCTAAACCTTTCGATTGTGCCAACATAATTTCAAATCTTGTGACGATTTGTTAGTTTAGTCATTTCGATCAATTTTGGTTGGAGATCACTGACATGGACGCTGGCCGTTCTATGTGAGGCATGACCGACGCTGACGTGGACAATTTTTGCATTATTTAATTTTTTTTGAATTTTTCCTCACCGGCCAAAAAATGGAAAAATTCATAAATTTTTTTAGAGGAATGCAAAAATTATCCACGTCAGCACTGATTGTCCAACCATGCCACATAGAACGGCCAGGATAGGCAGCATTCATGTCATGGATTTCCGATCAAAATTGGCTGGAAGGACTATATTGGCAAATCGTGAAAATGTTTAGAACTAAATTGACACAATTGAAAGGTTGAGGACTGAATTGGCTGCCTTATGACTTTTTGGACAATTTTCCCAACGGACTACAATTGTGCATCTCAAGAGTCGGCAATGAGAACTCGGGCATTGCCATCGTTGTCGCCACGCGAATGCTTCGGGGGCAAGTTATGTGAATGGAGCTCTATCTAAAGTTGCTAGTCAACCCATGTGGATTTCTCCGTGTCTTCCTTGATGTCTGGATTTCAAGATTAGAAGATTTGAAGATGATGATGCTTTTGGATAGATTAGGTGGGGGTGTGAAATTTTCAAATTGCTTAGTTATTACACACAATCGGTATTATCCAATTGGAAAAGCGTGTGCCCAAGTTTCCTTGCCTTATACCCAACGTAGGGAGAGGATAATGATGAGGCAAGAAATCCCCAAACCCTAGGGCGATGACGTGGCGCGTCGTCGTCCAGCTCAGCCGACTCGTTCTTCCACGGTGGACTTTCGTAATCACCAATTTGCCTAATTTGGATCCCGAGTCTTGAACCATAAGCTATCTTTCTCAGAATTTCAGGATGATTTCACACATTTCTTTTCTGATTTCGTTTGACAATTTAGGCTCTCTCCAACTCAAATTCGTTGAAGGGCCCATGTTCTATTCAAAGGCCCAGCAGGTGCAGCCTCTAACTCAACCTGGGCACCTTGCTTGAATAATCTCTCTTTTGAGTTTTGCGGTTACAAGGGCAATTCGTGTCATCATGTTCATATCGATTTCTGATATTTCCATGTCGTCTCAATGCGGTTACAAGGGCAACAATCTTAATAAGTCGTGTTAGTTTCAAGTAAGTCACGGCGTGTTCGAGGGTTTCGAGCGATATTCGAGTCGTGTGGCGTCGCCGGTGTTTAAACACTTCATAAGCATTAATATATACTCTAAAGGAAAGTCCAAACACTGGTCAAGGTAACAGCTGATAGTCTTGAGAAACTGGGTGTCTGCTCCACAATCACAACTTCACAGAGAGAGAGAGAGAGAGAGAGAGAGAGAGAGAGAGGTAAATGTAAGAAATACTTTGCAAAATTTGTTGAAACCTATAATTGATCATATGAAGAAAGATTAAAAAAGCAGGCAAGGCATTTTAACTGTTAGTCCCATTGGACTTTGTTCCTAGACAACAATCTAATCCCCCCCCCCCTCCGTCCAACTATCTATCAATTACAACAGCCCTTTCCTCAGCAACTCATCCCAACGGTCCTACCAGTAAAAATGCCAAACAAATTCAACTCAGAAAATCATCATCCCCCCTCCACTTTCAATGCAAAACAGATCTCGGGTATAGGGCAACCCGCGACGACTCCCGAGGCTCTACTTGTGATTGAACCAGGGACCCATGGCGCCGTTGACGTGCCCGTTGCTGTGGTGCATCCCCACGCCATTGGGCATGATGGAAGAGGTAAGCCCCGCCGCCATTGGAGGTGGCGCAGTCGGATACAACCCGTGATTGTGCTGCGGTAGTGTGTGGGGACTCACGATAGGACTGCCAAGAGGGCTGCCCTTACGTTGCTGAAGGGCACGGATCTGCTCAAGCCCTTCTTCGTGAATGCTCGAGATCGTCTTCAACTCTTCCATTGAAAGTGTTTCGAGATTAGCACCGTACAGAGGAGCGTGTCTAGTCATTTCTTCCTGGAGATGGTTATAGAGTGACTGGATGTTTTCCTGCAAAGAGGAAGCATCCGTCTTAGGTGAAATCTAAGCAACAAAGAGAAAGCGGGACAACCCGAATTAATACTTAATCATATGCTTGAATGAGTTATTGGCACAAACCCGGCAGGTCTGCAATTCTGTTTCCATCCCATTAATATATGCTTCACATCGAGCAAGCTGCTCCTCCTTTTCCCGTTTTTCTCCTTCAGTTTGTCCCACTGTTTGTCTCAATCTTCTAATCTCGTCCTCAAGGGACTGCCGCATCTCTTCTCTGGTCACGTTTTCTGTCGCGTACCGCTTCAGCTCTTCATCAAATCTTTTTCTCCCAGCTTCCGCATTCTTCAGCCTTTCCGCAAGAGCGTTCTTCTCCTTTACCACTTTCTGTTCCATTCACATAATTTGGTCAGAAAGACATCGATTATCATTATTCCAGATGCAGGAAAAAAGGAGATAAATCTAATTCATCCATCCCCACCCTGGTCA